AATATAGATTTCAATTTCAAAATTAAATAATAAATTATAAATAATTAGGATATATTTAAATTTTAATGTTTATATATGTCGTCATTTTTAAAGGGATCGGAACTATCCGGGATCATCATGGGTTTTAAAGGGATCCCTTTAAAAATTCAATTTTTTAAAGGGTAAAGAACTATACGGTATTATCACTTTGAACCATGATAAAGAATAACCTTAATTTAAAACGCGTTTTACACGCGTTTTGCTTTATTTTTTTAAATTTTCTAAGTTTTTGGGGGGCTTATGAAAGTAGATATGTCGAATATAGGGTATAATCGATAGCTAACAAAAGATCTATTCAACTATACGTCAACATTTTCTCATTAATGGGCTAGTCTAGGCCTGGGGGGTTAGGAATATTTTTATCAAAACAAACTATCGATATGGTTATCAAATAAAAGCTAATTTAAAAATCTTTTGACTGAAAGCATTTAATATTGGTATTGATGGGTAGGACTTGATTTAGGAGGTGGGGGGGGGATATGGTAAAAAATAAAAGATATTGATATAGGTATCAAATAAAAGGTAATTATTTTTATTGTAATAATAATAATCACTCAAAGTGGGTGGGTCTTGGGCCTAAAGGGGTCAATAACATTTTTCAACATAAATATCGATATTGGTATCAAATAAAAGTTAATTTAAATATCTTTTGACTGAAAGTATTCATTCTTGATTTTGATGTGTAGGACTTGGCCTAAGGGAGGGGGGGAGGGGTGTAAAAAATAATTTTTTTGATATGGGTATCAAATAAAAGGTAATTAAAATCATTTGATTGTAATAATGATCACTCTAAGTGGGAGGGTCTAGGTCATGGGGGGGGGGGGGGTCAGGAATATTTCTATAAACACAAAATAATGATATGGGCATTAAATAAAAGGTTTAAAATATCTTTTGATTGTAATAATAATTGTCACTCACTGGGCGAGTCTAGGCCCTGGAGGGATCAGAATATATTTATCAACATAGATATGGGTATCAAACAAAACAAATTTAATTATCTTTTGACTGAAAGCATTTATTCTTGCCCTTGATGGGTAGAACTTGGTCTTGATGGGTAGGACCTGATCTAGGGGGGTGAGGGGATAAAGAATAAAAAATATTGATATCAAAATATCTTTTGATTGTAATAAAAATGGGCGGGTCTAGTCTTGGGGAGGGGGGGGGTCAGGAAAATTTTTTCAACATAAAATAACGATATGGGTATCAAATAAAAGGTAATTAAAATATCACATGATTGCAATAATTATACTCTAAGTAGGCATTCCATACCAAGCTCTTATAATGTCAGTGAATTGTTACTTAATATTTTTTCTCATGAAAGTAATAAAATTAATGAATAGTTTACTAACTCTAACCTACTAATTTAACTCTTCATATTTATATATTATTCATTTTAAATTAGATTTCACTACAGTTTCTAATCCGACTTGCACAAATACTTTATATCTGCTTTATAACCATAATAATACTACTAATGAACCTGAGGCAATATTATTGCTCACAAAATAAAAATGGGGAATTCCTACGAATCATTTTACAATATTAAATATATTCTTTCGGAGAGAAGGAGATATAAAATAGGCAACACAATACTATGGCAAGATAAAAATACCACAAACTCAATAGGCATTAGCATAGAAAAAGTTTTAGATAGGCAGCCTTCGTTTATTACCTATTTATAATAGATAGAGACAATACAAAAATAAAATTAAAAAAATAAAATATTTATTGTGGATCACGTACTGATCCCAATAAATAAATATGATAGATCAAATCTATGCCCTAAAATATTGAAGCCAAAATTATCCAAATGGGGGGGGGGGGGAGAAACTATGCGTTGGAACTAAGTTTGGGAAAAATTGATTCCCAATTTTTAAAAATGAACGTTCACAAATCAATAAAATTTAACCATTCTTAATAAGACCATCTCCATAATAACAGCATCAAGAAGTACATCTTCTTATGGTTATTGTAAATTAATGCAATTTCCAAAAAGGTTGCAACAATATGAGATGCCAATGTTTTAAAAATGGCATTAATTATAGTGACAAAATGTCACTTAAATATTATTTGTGTAAATAATAAATAATTGTTCAAAATTATATTTCAAATTTCAATTATCCAAATCAAATAAAATATGTGTTGATAATATGTCTTGAAAAAAATATAATAATAGGAATGATTTGCTTGTAAAGAAGTGTAATAATTTATACTGAAATAATTAAAATATTTATAATGTAATAGTAAAATTTGTGAATCGATCGTTTCAAATGTAGCCTCCAGAAATTTGATAAAATTAATATAATCAAAAGATTTTTAAATACTTTTTATTTCACCCCCCCCCCCCCCAATCCAAATCAAGTCGAGCCCTTTTAAATAAGAGTAAATACTTTCAGTTAAAAGATATTTAAATTACCTTTTATTTAATTCCTAAATCAATATTTTTCGTTTATAAAAACATTCCTGACCACCCAAGACCTCCCGTCTATTTAGTGTATAATTAATACAAACAAGAGATATTTTAATTACCTTTTATTTGATACCCATATCGTTATATTGTGTTTATAAAAATATTTCTGACCCCCCAAAACCTAGACCCGCCCACTTAGATTGATGATTAATATTACAAACAAAAGATTTTTTAATTACCTTTTATTTGATACCAATATCGTTATTTTGTGTTTATAAAAAAATTTCTGACCCCCCATGACCTAGATACGCCCACTTATAGTGATAATTTTTTTTATAAATAAATATTTTAATTACCTTTTATTTGATACCCTTATCAAAAAAATTACTTTTTACCCCCCCCCCCCTAATAAATCCACCTCCCAGACCAAGTCATACCCATCAAGACCAAGAATGAATACTTCCAATCAAAAGATATTTAAATTAGCTTTTATTTGACACCCATATCGATATATTATGTTGAAAAATATTCCTGACCCCCAAGACCTAGACTCTCCCATTATGAGTGAATATTATTTTACAATAAAGAAATATTATAACTATCTTTTATTTGATACCCATATCAAAAAAAATAATTTTTTTAATCTCCACTCCCCCTTCTATTCCCCCCCCCCTCAGACCAAATCATACCCATCAAGACCAAGAATAAATACTTTCAGTCAAAAGATATTTAAATTAGCTTTTATTTGATACCCATATCGATATTTTTTCCTGACCCCACAGACCTAGACTCGCCCATTAAGAGGTAGAGATTGACTCCATTTGCAATATTATGATTATCTATCGATTAATACCCTATATTAGACATATCTTAAATCATAAGGCCAAAAAACAACATTGAAAATTAATAAATATCAATAGAATTAAATAAAAATAAAACGAAACGCGCGTAAAACCTTTTTAAGATTCCTCTTTATCACAAATGTGAACACCGTATTATCATTCCTTAACTTTGATGGAAAATTTATTGCCTCCTTAAATTATCATAATTAATATTATGCTCTATTTATAAACATGGGAAAATAATACATCATAAATATTATTAGTAAATCAATAAAAAATATTAAATTTAATATTGTCTTGAATCTTATTATATTATATAACATATTAACTTAGATGAGTATGCTATAGCGATTAACCTGGCAGAAGGCCCACAAGTATGGGGGCGATGCCCTCATAAATTATTATAAAATAAAAACTCGCGTTTTCAAGTGAAAAATATCTGGCAACCCTGCTTGTACAAGCTAAATGAAGAATTTGGGAAGCATATGAAAAAATATGTAATTGAGGGAGAGGGGGGGGGATGTAATATGGGGCCTGTTGTAATTGTACATTTTTACATTATATGTATAAATAAATTTATATAATATTCAATGTCAATCAAATTATGTTTAAATGTAGATTCGTAGACTACATTAGTTAATATAATATCTAATGTTATATGTTATACATGTCAAACATCAATATAATGTCATTTATTTGGATTTGCTAGAAAGCAGCAAGACTTTCAAGATTTCTTTGTCATGATTTTATGTTTTCTTTGTGATACAATAAAATTAGTTATTTATTTTTTCAGTGGGATATTAATGATTGTAAAAGGTAGATTTATTTTAATATACATTTCAAGTTTATAAATGAATGAAAATTTTATAAATCAATCATTTTACCCCCTTTTCCATTTTGTTTCCTAATAATATATTTTTTTTAAAAACTATGGAAAATATAATTTAATTATTTTTAAGCTAAAAGTAATTTCAAGATGATGGACCTGTTTGGGAAATATAGGCAAAATTAGATTCAGATTTTAAAAAAACTCATTAAATAAATTAATTTAAGTTTAAAAAATATAACACTGCTGGGAAAAACATATGGACGTTTACATTTATGTACTATAATAATATCTTTAAAAAATATTTAAGAATTACACTAATTTAATAATGTTTCAATTTAGTTAGTAATTAATTTATTCATCAAACAATATAATATACATATTATTTTTTAATAACATTTAATTAATGATAATTTTGTCACCACTAGTCGGGGCTCACTTTTATTATTAAATTTGAATAAATCATCAATAAAAACATTTATAGAATTGTAATTAAGATATATATGCCTTTTAAGTGTAGATTTTTAAATGATATTCATTAAAAGTTCTTTATAAAAAATACCAAAATAATCAGAGCTAACTTGAAAATATCAATCAAAGATAAAAGACACTTTATGTCATAATCTTTTTAACCGATTCATTACTAATTAGATGGGCAGATGGTAATAGCAGTAAACCTATAATCTAAGTCTGGTGACTTATATTGAAAATGATCAACTTTTGTGTGTCGTTCATAGATTTTTCAGAAATTTTTTTCAATTTATTATAAGCTAAGTTTTAAACAAACTAACTTACAAATATTGGAAAGGGCTTTTATTTATATATATATATATTAATTTTGATTAATCAAAAATATAATAGCAGATAAAATTTATATTCATACATAATCCTCCTTCTAAATCCAATTCTTCCATTCTCATATATATTCTCCAGTATTTCTGGACCCTGATAACCCAAACACATTCGAGAGATGATTCGTAATTAAATGGATAGCCGGGAGACTGTATTATTCCAAATTTTTTATCTTTGATGAATTTGCCACATTTCATATTTTCAGATTGAAATTTTGTTGATAAATCGTTTATTAAAGTATTATTTTTTAAATTCGTTGAAATAATTGGTCGCGAAAAATTATTACCATTATAATGAGTAACTTGAGATATGATGTCTTCCGCAAAATGGTCTTTGAAATAAGGTTCAAAATTTTCTAGTGAATAAAAAGTATAATTGAAATTATCTATCTCTCAAGGAAATAGTAAAAAATGTGCTGGATGAAAATTATAAATTTTAGTGTTATTTTAATTTAGTCAAGGTTTGAGTTTGGCTCAGATATGTAAAAAGTTCGGTCTGGGGTGAAATAGTCTAATATTAAGGTTAGTCCGGACCAAGTGATAAAATATCTTCCTGTCGACTTGCAGAGCTCTCATTACAATACATAATTAATATTTAATACAACTTATGTCGGGCACCATTTTAAAATTATCACAGAAAGGGCATAGAAATATATAATATTTTGTTACAAAGATAATGAGCCATTATCGTTAAGATGCAATTTGTTAGTTATCCAAAAAATAACAGAATAGGTCAATAAATTTGTCTTTACTATCATGATAATTTTACCTTCATTAACAAATTCAAAACTCGCAATGAACCCTTTGAATCTAGTGTTAGAGCCAGAATTGTCGGATTTAAATCTCAATTCCATGTTGCTTTGGAAGGAAAAAATTGTTTTGGAGATATTATCTATGTTCCCGCACAACCGATTTATCAAATGTTTTAATCCATTATCGCCGATATTATATATTTCCAAATAGTCGTTTAAACACCTATTGTAAATTAATAAAGATATAAATTTAAATTTATTACTATTGTGCAAATTTGTTAGCTTACATATGCAGGAATATGACAAATTTTTTATTATCGAAGAATATCTACTAAATTTGTCCTACATATTTGTTATACGTTTATTATAAATAAATTGATGGGAGATAATCAGTTTTAGAAAAGAGTTTTTTTTATTATTATATAAAAAATTAAAAAAAGACTACCATGAGCACCTTCTTAGGTAGTTACAATGACTGATGGATGGGAGAGGGGCAGGTTCCCGGTAGACCATTAATTTGAACAAGACCAATGTCAAAACGTTTTTTCGATAGACCAAAAAATGTGAATTAATTTTAAATAATAAGATATGACCAAAATAATATTAACCCAAATTTGTTTTTCTCTTTCAAGTCAAATTCTTCAAATTTAATGGATAATCCTTCATACACGGTTCCGTAAAAAAAGTACCAACATTCAGAATTGGAAGGATAAAAATTTGGATAGTTAGGAGAGCTAATGTAGCCCTTTTTCATGGTAGATCTATTAAAAGCATGCACGCAGTTTCCTTTCATAATATTTATTTTTAAAAAAATATATAGTAATTACGTGGAATTAATGGACAATAATTAATACTTATCTAAACTGCTTATTGAACTTTAAATTTTACCCTAAATTGAACTCCGAATTGGGCTACGATATTAAATTTATATAACGATTTTTTATAAAAAGTAGCTAAATAAAATAGCATCACAAAGTAAAATTCCATTTCTATAAAATTCTTGATCTCATTTACGCAGAAATCACGTGATAAATGTTATCGAAGGGAATATATAAAATAAAATAATTATTAAATATTTTGGAATTAAATATTTTGTTTAGCACTCCTACTCGGTTAACAATCAATTTTCCATTCAAACAACTTGACTTCTAATTCGGCGCATTAAATCAGCTTCGATTAAGGTCATAAGAACTTAAATGTCAAAAACGATTTAATGCATTTCTTTGAATCGTGGATTTAGTGATTTTTGCACGTTTATAATAGAAATTTGAGAGAGACATTTAAATAAAGTTTTATTCTTACTATTTTAAAAATTATTTTATTTAAGCTTATTTATTTTATTTAAATATGAATTTAGACTTGTTTTTATTACTTATTATTAATGCGGCCAACAAAAATTATTTTAATGAAAGAGATTAAATGTGGACTGGAGAATATTATAAAATGCTAAAAGAAAATCATATCCAATGTGAAGTAAATTAACATTTATTATTTTTATTTAAGACATATAGGATAAAAAAAAAATCAAATAAGGACTAAGTATTAAAAATTATTCATGATAAATTAAATATATTTTTATATGATGATGAAAATATTTATAATATATATAATCATTTTTTTGAATTGATTATATATAAATTTATTTTATACCAACAATTTCCAAAGAGCGAAGAGAGAAGATTGTGACGAATATTTTAAAATAGGTGGAATATTTGATCTTCATATTTTGCTCAGTCAAACTGAATATAATTTTTAATTGAAAACTTTTTTTTAATTATAAAGAGAACAAAGAACAAAAAAAAGAAATAATCATATTGAATTCATTCATGAATATAGATTGATTTAATTTGTATAAATATTATTTGATAATGAAAAGTTAAAAAAGATTATAAATATTATATTGAAACATAATATATGTATTTTACTATAATATATATTATCATTATAATAAACATTTTTTTAAAAAAAATCAATGTTTTTAAAAATATCATATTAGGCTATTAAATTTTATTTTTTTAAAATATAATATTTGGTTATATGTCATTACTGCAAAACTTTTGTTTTTATCGCGAATGCATTACCGCAATTTTGATTATCGCCAATATATTCGTGAATGCATTTTTGCAAAAATGTTGTAGCGAAAACATTATTTAAAATCTGATTTCGCATCCTAAATTAGGTAGAAGCTATTGAGATAGGGTTAGCATGAAATAGAGGTCTGCACCCACCTGCCCACGCCCGCCCATCTAAGTGGGGGAGCGGGTTAAAATTTTAAAAGAACTGGCTAGCGGGTGGGCGGGTTAAAATTTAAACTATGGTTGGCAGGCGGGGTAAAAAAATTTACAACTTTTATTTGTTATTTAAAATTATTTAAGTATACATTAAAAAATCATATGTTTCCTGAAATTTCAAAATTTTTAATACCAAGGAATTTATAACTGAGAATGTTGTCATCGGGAGAAATTAATTGGTAAGAAATATATCGAAAACTTGTTGAATTTGATTGCATGGAAGAATATAACATCAACGTGGATGAAAACCTAATTTAACCCTTTTCCCCAGAAGCAAAGAGAATTTAATTAAAGATTATTAAATTATAAATGCAATGTTTGAAATAGAGCATCCATGTCAAAATTAAACACAACAGATAAGAAGATGTGTCTGTTGCAGAGGTGAGCATTACCTAATGACATAAAAAAATATTTAAATAAGTAACAAGTTTTTGTATAATTCATCAAAATTTTTGGCTACTTAATTTAGTTTAAGTTTATAATTTATAAACAATTAATTTAAATTACTTTTTTTTATTTATTATTAATGGTTTTACTTTATTTAAAGATCTCCCTTGAATAGAGGATATACTTCAAACGGATATCCTACTTAGATGGAAATGACAAGAAAAAAATTTATTAAAGCCATCAAGATAACTATAAAAAATATTGGCAATTCCAGCAACATATGCATTTTCTGAATGAGAAAATAGCATTGCTGGAAGGTTTTTAGTATCAATAAATTAATTTTATGTAATCACATAAATATTTTATTAGATCAAATAAATTACCCTTATGATTTATGCTTTATATAACATTCCCTAAATTATAAACCTTTTTTATAGTTGAAGCGCTGAAACTAAATCATTTTTTTTATTAGATACTTAATTGAAAGAATGAGCTTATTTACATTTTATGTGGGCGGCGTGGGTTAAATTTTTTTATAAATGATAGGCAGGCGAGATTATTTTTTTTCCTTGTATATATTATAAATGTATCATATTTTTAAATAGTATACATTCATTTTAATAAAGATCTGAAAAATTTTATAACCTATAAATTTTATATAATTTTATAAATTTAATAATTTTTGTTAGACATTTTATTTTATAACTTTATCAATTTTAAAATTTAATATCTTTATAACATATAATCAAACTTTATTACAATTATAATTTAAAATTCATTAAATAAAATTTCGTCGATATAAAAGGAAAAAAAGTCAAATTCTTAATAGTTTACTTATATAGACCTTAAAAAATAGTAATTAAATCTTTCGAGATTAAATTCTTAATAATAAGATAAAAATCCTCATTTTAATGATGATTTAAAAATCTTCTTAACTGCTTCCCTAAGATTGACTAGAATTCCTGTTGGGAAAAATTAAATAAAAATATTAACTCAAAAGGTTATAGAAAAAGGTTATAGAAAAAGGTTATAGATTTTATAAAAGCAGTGCATTTAACTTAAAACAAATATAAAAAAGAGATATATATATACTTTTTATATTCCACAACAATTAAACTCAATATTATCTAGAAAAATCTTATGCAAACCTGAAGGTTTTTCTCATAGATGGCACAAAGATTTGAATATGTATCAGCGAAATCTCAAGGCTTGGGCGATATCTTTCTGGCTAAAATACTAAGTTAGTCATATTCAAAAAGCGGCTCATTACTATTTTCGCCAAATAAAATTTAAAAAGTTTTTAAATAACGATTAGCACCTATAAATTATCAGTGATATCATAATAATATATAATTTTATAAATTTTTTGAAACTAATTTCGCCAAAAAAATTTTCAAAAGTTATTATATGATGATTATGACAATTGTCATCTTTGTGAATACCTTTTCATTGAAATCATTGCAAAATATATTTAGAACTATTCATTTTTTATGATCGCTAAAAAAAATGTAAGGTTAAAAATGTATTTTAATTATATGGTTTAAGCGACATTTTTGCATGTTTTTTATCTTTTGCATGGTTTGGTAAAAAATATTACGTAAATTTTGCATAATAGAATTTTGTTTGCGTGGTTTAGTAATGCCTTTAAGAGTTAATATATATTAGATTTAGATTAATATTATTAATTAATTGATGATAATATATACAGTAGTGACGGAGGAGAAGGCGGGGTAGCGGCCTTGAACACACAAAATTAGACTATTTTAGG